ACGTCTCAAACCCAGAGGCTACTAGGCAATCAGCCCTGTTGCATTTACACAATAACAGCTTCTCAGTTTGAGACGTAGAGATCGTAGAACCTCATTGAAACGTATGCATGGACGGCGTACGTGATGAAGCTAATTCCACCAGGGGGTGTGAATGCTTCGTGTAGTCCACGGAAGTCTCTTTGTCTTGAGCTAAAGATAGCCTGGTACAATGTAACCAGAGAATCAAAGATTCCTTGTCTTCTGATAACAACATAGCGTATGTACATATCATAATGTTGTTATCAGAAGACAAGGAATCTTTGATTCTCTGGTTACATTGTACCAGACAATCTTCAGCTCAAGACAAAGAGACTTTCGTGGACTACACGAAGCATTCACACCCCCTGGTGGAATTAGCTTCATCACGTACGTCGTCCGTGCATACGTTTCGATGAGGCTCTACGACCTCTACATCTCAAACCGAGAGGCTGCTAGGGTAATCGGCCCTATTGCATTCACACAATACTATGAGCATGAGAGCATCTATACTTATCATAATGTTGTTTCAAAGTACTAATGCGATAGATGTCTTCAGCGATCGCATCAGTACTTTGAAACAACATTATGATAATTACAGACACTATGTTGTTATCAGAAGACAAGGAATCTTTGATTCTCTGGTTATATTGTACCAGGCAATCTTCAGCTCAAGACAAAGAGACTTATGTAGACTACACGAAGCATTCCGGTGAAATTAGCTTCATCACGTATATGACGAATATCTGTCTACTACATGCTGCTATTTACCCTATTCACATCAAGGAAATTAGTGAAGATGTAATGTATACGCTAGTTATCAACACCGAAACCGACTGGACCAACATCCACAATCCGTTTAACATCGACGGCTTCATCGACAACTTTGATTTAGCACAAGGCGTGCTGATGAGAATGCGTGATAGTAGAACTTGGAATATATCATCCCTCGTTTCAACCATTACTAGAAGACCATTCTGGTTATTCGATTGGCACGACAACGAAATGTGCTTATCGTGGTTCCCTTTTGAAGGTAATTACACTATGGAAGTTATGTCAATCGTCCACATCTCGATAGGCCAGGTTTGGAGAACATGCCTCTCCAATGATGTAGGCTATAGTCACATCGTGGTCAAATCATACTGCACACACAAGAACTCTAACAGTTCTTCACTTTATCCACTTAAGCTCACCAGCTGACTTGATCGTAGGAGGAACCACGGGAAAAACAAGCCTCATCCCCTCACGTGTTTCTAAATGTGCAGACTTTTCAGCCACCCAACTCAGAATCAGATATTCAAGGAAGGAAGCGACCTCTCATCAATCTCAATAACCCCTATCTAACCACGGATATAATTGACTGTGTGATCACTTAACATCAACATGAAAAATTCTAAATTTCAAAATTTTTAAAATCCAAAATTTTGGAACAACCCCAATGTTATCTGTTCAAATCTCTTTGGTAATGGATATATGTGCATGTGCGTGTACGAATAATAATAGAACTTTGAAATTCTACAATGTATAATCTGAATGTTAAAAAAATTACACACAAGGATTACAGGGGATTATTTGTCGACGGACAACCAAACCTGATATTTTTCAAGGACCAGCTCTGGGCTTTTGGGGGGTAAGCTCTTAGCACTCTCCGTGCTGTTTCAGTCACAAAACAGCGCACAAATTCCTTTGGATGTTATCTGTTGCTTTTTATCCCCTTTCTCTCTCATATTGGTATTAAAAGGTATCAGAAAACTCCAAATAGTGTAGCCACAGCAAATAATAAGAACAATCCTCCGCCGAGATAACCAACCTACATACAGATATCAAGGGTATTTTCATGAGAGCATATAACATTGCACGCTAGAATCAGTTAAGAGGAAGCATGCTACCTACCACTTTTTCAGAAATGTAGTTGGCCAGCAATGCTCCTCCGAGAATTGCAATTACAGTTGCACACAGGTGCCCTGTGATAGCTCCACCAGCCACACCCCATGGAGACTGCATCATAAAAAATGGAACATAAATAGATCACAGTGGCACACTTTGACAACTAGGAGTGAGCCAAATATTTCTCCTGCTGAGCGAGAAGTGAGCAGGACAATATCGTGGAGGGGCCTAAAATATGATTTTCCACTTCTAGATGTTTCTTTTTGGCCTTGGGCTGTAGCGGAGTTAAAAAATAATTAAACATGTTAACGCATAATTTTTTTTGCACGATTGATTGTCATATGAACATCATCACACAATAAGGTTTTCAAATTGTTTCAAACTAGAATATATTGTTTATGATAACATTCTTCTTGCCTTCACTTCTTGAAATCATATCTTCCTCATAATGTCATAAAATATACCTTTTATAAAACATGAAACAATCATTCATATACTCAACTCTCATTCGGTGTTCTGTTTGCTATAAACTTTGTTATGCTGTTGAGTTTGTGTTTAGGGGGGATTTTAACAAACTACAATGGTATAACCACATTTTTATGAGGTCGGTGCACTGAAGCTTCTGGTGAGGCTTCATCCTTTTCTCTCAAAACCAAAAATGCTCTTACAATGTTTGCTTGCCACAACAACGGGCATGATTAATGTCAACTTTACCAACTTGTACATCCAAAGATATAAAGTATTCAATCTTTCATCCTACCAACTTCTTAGCAAATTGACCCATCCCTTTAATTTAAGAAAGACTATAATAAGTAGCTACATAGGAGATGTAGTTTTCAAGTTGGTCTCTCAGCTTAATGCGATCTATTTAGAAAAATCTTTAGGATAAAACTCGAATGATCGAATCAAATTTTCCTTATCATTAGAAGTGAATGAATACTTTGTTCAGGACATGTCAGACAAGAAATCAACTCAACATTACAATTATCAAAATGGTTGCTCAACTCCAGAAAATAAAAATCAATAGACGTATTGAACAATTCAACTTTGATAGAGAGGAATTAAGAGGATCAAGTTTGAGAAAGTTAATATTTAATATATCTTATGTATTTTACTCCCTATAACATCACTATAAGCAAATTAAGCATATATACTTGTTTTTTATGATTCCAAGGTAGGGCCAATGCTCCTTTGGCCCAAATGTGGCGCAGCCACTGGTCTTGGAAAGTATATGACTTATGATTTTATCTTATGCAGAGTCCTTAAAGTCCCTCTATTTTTTGACTATTACATATCATTTATTTAGGTAGCCATATATCCTCGTGCATTATTCTTTGTTTATACTTGTTGTTGCAGAAATGTTTTGTTAAATTCTAGTTCATGGAACAGCAGGAGTTAAAAGGTGCACCAATGGTCGTTTCTAAAAGAAAACTAATGTCTCGGGAATGCACAAACAAAGAAGTTAAATAGGCATAAAGCTCAAAGGATACCTGAGCAGCACCCAAGGCAATAGTAGCCAGCATTGAACGATCACCCCATTCCTGTAAAAGTAAATCGTTAAATGAGATCGCAGATATTGCTTCCTTGCGATTTTGAATAAATGAAGTGAAAAATTGCAGGTTCAACAGTAAGTAATTGAAGAATGGAAGAGTATGAGATATTTGTAGATCACTTTGGTGAGCCCTTCTGTAGAAAATTTCAGATGAGTTTTCTTCCTCTTGAGGAAGAGAATGCGAGTTTGATCTTTGATAGTGCAAAAAGAGGAAAGAGGGAGGATTTCTTGCAACTTTTTACTCATGTGGGGGGAAATAATTTTGAAGTTAGACAGTTTAAATTACATAGTAGAATGGACAAAGGGGTTGCGCACCGCAAAGAAAACAACGCTGAAAGACTTCCAGATGATCTCGAAAGGATTTGTGAGCTTCTTATCCACCTGAAAACAATTAGAAGTTGACCCCTTATATTAGAAAATGTATATGAATGAATACAATTAACTGGCATTGAATTTTAAAAGTTTGGATAGCACTGCTGCAGACAATCGTAAAAGGAAAGAAAATAAAGATAAGAGAAGCAGCATTATAACTTGTAATTATGTGTTGAATGATGGACAATAGCATTAGATATTCAGGCAGATTGTCTCGGCCATCTGTAATGAACAAAATCATTTTCTAGACTTATTTACTGATAACACACAAGAAAAAGAAAGAAACAAATTATTTCACATCATTGTAGTATAATCATACATTCACTAAGATGAGCAGGGAACTGTCAATAGATTTATTTACTTATAGAAAACATGTTCAGAAACCTGGAATTAAGAGCAAACAGAACATGACTACAAGGTGATGTGGAATCGGGGTTCCGATCCAAAAGTAGAAGACTCGAATGTGTTGCCTTCGACGCCAATTTGGATCCGATAGGAAATTATGAGGTTCTCAATATTGTGAATTTGGCAGTTACCCGAATCTCATCGCCAAAGGACGGGTGTCCGGATATATTGTTGGGAGCTAATTGAACCTCGAATGGCGTTGTAAGGCCTTGGCAGGTAGAGATCATAACTCTTAGAGGGTCAACCAGAGGAGATCCAGCGATGGTGATAATCGATCGGATCACGAGAGCTCATTGGGGTTTGTCAAAGCTCAGACATGGTTTGATCAAGTCCATGAAGGGTTCAGTTGGATATGAGGGGAGCGCAGATGAACGTTACACAAGTTTTTTTCCTTGATTTTGTTGTGAAGTTAACCAGCCTTCACACCTACTATGGACTTCACATGCTCAAGGAGAATTTTCATAACTTAATTTTTTTTTATTCATCAACATCTGCCTTCTTACTACTTAATGGGTCTTACACTTTTATTTAAAGAAAACAAAAGATCGAAAATAAGATAAATCAAATCTCAAGATCCTAACATCCAATCTTTGGGAAACAAATAAAATCTGAAAGATCCTGAAAATCAATCCTAACATCAAATCCTAAGTAGGGGTGAAAAACGACCAAATTGAAGCGAATATCATGGCGTTCAAATTCAAATTCGGCTAATTTTTCAATATTTGAATTCGAGTTTGAATTCAGCTCGAACATCCCAATGTTTTTCACCTTCAATTCGACTATGTAATATTTATTCGACAAAAGTTTGTGAAGGTTCATTAGCTCATATGTTTGGGTGCTTTTCAGCCTTCAGACGTTTTGTCCCTAGTTCAAGCCCAGCTCTAGGCACAATTTGGACTTTTAATTTTCTTTACTGAAGAAATGGCGACTAATTTGGACCTTTAATTTGTTTAAGGTTTTTGCACGTACACCCCTATAATTGTATATATTTATAAACACTTCCCTCAAAGCATCATAATTATTGATTTCTTCTCTAAATTGTTTCTTTCACTCAAGTTTACACCTAAATTTGAACTCATTAATTTTTTATTTTGAAAATATCTAATATACCATTAAATAAATATATAACATTAACGAATGTTTAATAATCAAACGAATCAAATATGTCTTTAGTAAAATTTTATTCGTTTATAAGTGTTTGCTGGAAAAATTACAAGAAAATTGAGAAATAAATTTATATTAATCTCCCTAACTGACTTAGGAAAAGAATGAATACAATCTCTCAAAATAACAATCTCTCAAAATAACTTCTCTCTAACTGACTTAGAAAAAGAAATTACAATTTCCTTATCGGTTTCCCGATTTACAAAAGAGAGAAAAATCGACGAAGATCGCTCCCTTTGCTTAATACTGAGTTTTTCTTGGTGACAATGGGAGTTTGATACTTGTATCCCGTTGACGATCCGAACGCCTCGCTTCGTAGAACTTTGTCTACTCTTCTTGACTTAACATCGGGAAGAACTTGCCAGGCAAGTTTAGAACTCTAAACGAGTTTAAAAACTTTGCGAAAGAGTTAATTTCAGAAAGAAAATTTAATCCTTTTTCAACCAAAATAAGCTAAACAGCCGATCTCAAGGTTCTTCAACCGAAAATGGTTCAAAAAGACCAAGCCAAATTATCTCAAAAGCTCCAACAAAAGCCAACCCCAATGGATCCAAAAAGGATTCATATTCAACTGAATTCTCAGCTATTTGTAGAGATCTAGGGGTGTAACTCATAAATCTCTCCATAATGGGGGCTTAATGGCCCCATTATGTGGAAAACGGTTTTGAACCGTTCAAATTGCCATTGAAACGGTCAAACGCGAGATTCGCGTTCTAGAGTGAGCCTCGCATTCAGCTTTGTGAAACGCGGAGGTGATCCTCACGTTTTGGAATTGGAACGTGGGGGTGACCCTCGCGTTTTGGAGTTAAAATGCAGATATGACCCTCGCATTTTGGAATCGAAACACGAGGGTGACCCTCGTGTTTTGGAGTTAAACGCAGGGATGACCCTCGCATTTTGGAATTGGAACGCGGGGGTGGACCCTCACGTTTTGGAGTTGGAACGTGAGGGTGGACTCTCATGTTTTGGAGTTGGAACGCGGGGGTGGACCCTCGCATTTTGTTTTGAAGAGATCGTTAATTGTAATCTTTTTTTTTTTGCAAGGATCGTCAGCTTGTAATCCTTATATTTTGTTCTTGAAAATGTGAGTCGTCAATTTGTAACTCTCATCTGTTTTCGTAAAAATCGTCAGATTGTAACTTCCATCGTCAGTGTTTTGCGGGACCATCTATTTACAGTAATTTTTTGACAGCCTACAATAAACCGAATACTAAAAATTATTCGTTTAGTATTAAATGAACAATCAAATTGAATTTAACTTAATGCCTGGATGAATAATAACTGAATTGTTTATTAATTATTTGGTTTACTTCGACCCCTAATCCTAAGGAAATCCTAAAAAAATAATGATTGCACTAAATATTTTCAAAATAAAAAGATCTTAATAATCCGATAACCTAAGATCAATGATCACCCTACATCATAATGGGAAAAATTCCCAGATAAAACTTAGTAATGCTATCACTAAGGAAGAGCCCCCAAAAAGAGGCAAACTAACAAACATTGTCACCTTATGTAGTTTAATAATTGAGAATGTACAAAATTCTAGGAGCTTCTGATGTGCAGCATATGGATTATACTCTGTCGTCCGCTAAGGAAGAGTGACTTGTATTTTGTTGACAAGATAATAGTATGGAAGCCTGAATAATATGCAATCTCGTCGAGCACTTCTACAGAGGGCGTATATTGAAAACTGAGTAAATGACGTACAAGGTATGTGGTTCTCAATTTGAAAATGAAAAAAAAGTCAGTGGGATAACAACCTCTCAAAAAGACTAATCAAGAAAACACTTGCCATTTAAAATCACGCATAAAGATGTGAGGCCTTAAATTTTGTGATTTTGCACAATACTTCGCCAATAGATGTCAAAATATGACGCAACAAGTTTCCATCCAGAAATTGACCTTATTAATGCTTTTCTTTCCGGGAACTTGCAGATATATATAATTCTTTATAGTGTTAAATTGCCTGATTAAAAGAGATTTTGCATGAGGGATTGCTTGTATGCTCTACTTGTTAAGATGGATAGGAACGGTATACATGTACTCTTTGTTACACAGGTTAGCCTCAATAAGAACATAATTCATTCTTAGTTCATTCCTCATTTCCTACTAACCTTTTCTTTCACCAGCTCCTCGGCTTCAACAAATTCTCCAAGTTCTGCGCTCTCTTTATCCTTCTTGCCTGCATCAGATGGAAGCTCCCATGCAGTTTTTATGGAATTCAAACCGAAGAATGTAAGAAGTGCCACAGCTGCATATTCTCCGATAGGTAATGCTGTAACAAACATCTGCCTATCAGTCACTTCTACTATCAAATAGATGATTGATTTGGAAAAAGTTTAAAGCATAGAGAAAAAGAATATTGAGTCATTGACACTGTTATACAAAAGAAGAGTGAGATTGTCGAGACAAGTACTGCAAGAAAGTAGAATTTAATTGGTTTTTGTTGAAATAATGGTCAGTAGGATAGTGATCAAGTCAAGCACAGAAAAAAACTTGAATAATGATCTTCCTCCATTTCATCGAAAATATAAGTCTTTCTACTGACATTTCAAATTTAGTCAGCAGTTTCTATTAAAAAAATTGCATATCCTATGCTAACAAATTATACATTGGTTTCTCTCCAAGCTGTTGGTGTCAATTGTTGAGAGGGATACACTGTCTGACAGGATATGTAAGAAGAAAGACCTCGTAGATGTAAGAAACCGTCTATTTAAGAAAATATCACCTAAAAATCTATAACTGAAACGACCCTAAATTGATTTGCATGAAAAGCATCAACAGTGAAACAGCTCACGCTTACTTGTTTGAAACTGCGAGGGAACAGAATGAAATATCCGTCCAATTATCACAGATAAGGCTGTCATAAGAGAAAGAGCACCCATTGATCCCAATAAAACCTGTTTATTGTAAAAACCGACAGCATTAAGTAAGAAGAGGATTCCATTATAGAAACAAATTTTGTGTAATTACCAAGAAAATTTTACAAGAACTGATATGTCCATGCAGTTATCCGATTTTGAGGATTTTTTCAATTGTAAGACGTTTTTTAATTAAAAAAACACAAGTAAAGCAACCCACATCAGTGAGAATATACATAAACAAGCCTTGAAAATAAGTAGGTATGAAGGGTCACTTCTAGCTGTGTTAAGTATATCACTTAAGAACCCATGTTCTCAAGGCTAACTTTCATAATCAGTCAGATAATTGATGTTGAGTCCACATTATTGAATCCAATTAACAAAAACCTAACGCATTAAAGCTTGTCGACCACAAATCATTGTCAGATATATAACCAAGCAAAAGTTGAAGTAGACCGCATAAACAGTGCAGGTACTAATAATACACCTGAAAAGTGAATAGCCAGACGAATAACTGACAACTAAACGGGTAAAGTATGTACCAGTAATTTGTCATACTGCATAGCCAATAGAGCAGCAATGAAAAATGTCTGCAAAAAAAAACAAGGATTATGAACACTTGGCCAAAATTATGTTTGTAATAAAGGTGATATGACAATCTACACAAAAAGCGGCACTCCAAGAAATAAACAAAAAGCACTAATAGCCTTGTGATGCAACATGCTCTCCTAAAAAATTAAAACAACTGCAAAACAATTGAAAAATAAAATTGACTCTTCCATGTTGCTTTTTGATGTCATGAAATATGAAACTAAAAGGATGTTGGTGAATCGTAACTCTGAGCTCAAGAATTTATCAGCTCTTATCTAGAGGCAGCAGTCAACAAAGTCAACAAAACACTCAAGTTGGCAGGTTTTATATGGAACCCTAAGTTTAAAACAAAAGACATCTCCCACAATAGAAAGAATCTGGAAGATAAAATTTCAAAGACTGCTACAGTATTGTTACACAAGTCTATTTTAATACCAGCTGTCAGCATGAAGAAGTCCAATTATAAATGCTGGGGGTACTCTGTTAGAGTTAGTCTAGATTTACTCTGACTTAAGTTACACATACAATAATTATAACAAAGAAAAATAGATGAAAATAGAGAAAGGCCCTGCTGGGGTGAAGAAAAGAAAAGAAACTTTATGCACATAGTTGAGACTATTAATCTAGCAATTTATGCTCATGCGCATGTTTTCTTTTAAGTTTGGAACTCAAACAAGAAGTTAACCATCACATGATTAACCACAATAATGCTTTCTCTTATTTCCTCCATGTCGTTAGAGTTCTATAATAATAACCATCACATGATTAACCACAATAATGCTTTCTCTTATTTCCTCCATGTCGTTAGAGTTCTATAATAAGGTGTAACAAAACTCTACAATGAGTAATGCTTTCTCTTATTTCCTCCATGTCGTTAGAGTTCTATAATAAGGTGTAACAAAACTCTACAATGAGTCATGCTATAATTGTACTCTCAGACTCATACCAACTTCACACTTGTAAATCTTAATTGGCAGCAATTTACATCCAGCTATTTATGTTTATATATATATATCTGAAATTCATAGATTTGATCAATTGATGCATCCCTCCTATATAACCTTCCTTATAGACATGGATGAACACATTTCTCATACCTAGGTTCGTACAGTCCAAATGTCAAAGATGGACAGGACAATCAATTTTTTAATTTTTTGTACTACACATGACTAATGTACGTAAGATCATACAATTATAAGTATAACGATGAAAAATGTGTCCATCATTACTTGGAAGGTGAACATCCAGTACAGGGAATTGATTGTAAGTTCGCTATAATAATCACAAAACTATATGGCCTAGATGAAGTAGAAAATAATTCAAATAATTATATACTATAGACACAGCTCACATGTTAGCATCAAGAACATAGTGGTTTAGCATAGTCATCAAAGGAATATACAGACTGCTCCTTCCTCATGTAATGTCTCCAGAAGCTGTTATGGCATTCATGATACAGAAGGAGAAATAAAATATTACTTATTGTCAATTCATCACCTTGTCTCCAATTTCTGAAACAAATATCAATGTGAATGCAGCAGTAAACCCTGATTTTGCCAGTGCAGCTACAAGTGCAGATGGTCCTCCCTTGAAGGAAACGATAAGTGTAAACAATAATGCACATCCAAGAAGAACACCAGCAATAGATAGCAGGTAACGAGGTCCTGAAAGAGGCTTTGTTCTGCCAATCAACGAGGTAGAGATAAGCTTGGTCTGCAATTCAAATGCCAAAAATGCCAAAATATGTGCTAAAAGATCACTAATGTTATGATGCTTGATTTATTTAGAGCATCGATTGGATGTGTCTGTCAAATAAAGATATGAGCAACTGTTAAAACATAGCAAGGATAGTTTGCTCAATGCACGGTTACTTTTGTATTAGATTTCTTAAGACTTCAAGATCAGGTCATGGATCCTCATAAAAATTTAAAGGACTTATAAATGGCCATACTTTGAGAGAAATGTCTGTAAGAGAATTCCTGACATGCAACTAATCCAACCACCATATTTCTCAGATAAAGATCGTGATATAAAGAAGAAAGACCAGTTTGAACAAAAAAAGAAATTTTCTATCTGTTTTTCTAATCTCTATCAAGGGTTAAGGACCCTTATTTATAGTCTACATTTCAACCTGATTATTGAAGAATAATTACAATCAATTAATTCCAATAATTACAATCAAGGGTTAAAGATTCCAATTATGGATTGTTCCTTTCAATAATAGCCAACACATCTAACACATGTCAACATATTATAGCTGTGGAGAATTCAGGAAATTCCAGTTTTTGGTCCAGATTTTACTGATTCTGTGTCATAAGTCGACTTATGTCAACTCATGCACAGGCATAAGTCGACTTATGGTAAGTCGATGGTAAGTCGAATTACGTTCTGTTCTAGAATTGTTGGTTTTGGCTCGGTCAAGTCGATTTATAGAGACTGTTAAGTCGACTTATGGTAAGTCGATGGTAAGTCGACTTACATTCTGTTCTCCAGTTGTTGATTTTCGCTCTGTCAAGTCGACTTATAGACCCTGATAAGTCGACTTATGTCAGGTTTTCTACACAGTTTGAGTTCCTATTTGGATTTTGTTTGGGATTTGGTGTTTGGTATAAATACCAACACGTTTTAGGGTTTCTTTGGCTTTGATTGGTGATTATTTTGGGGATATTTGGAGCACAGAAAATAGGTATTTTCTGAGCTATTAGTTAGGGTTTTGTTTGGAGAGAAATAAAAATTTGTTAATGAGATTAATTGGTGGGTTTGAGTGATTTGTAATCTCAGTTTGTGCTCTTCTTCTCTATTAGTGAAAACTTCATCCCCTTCTTGCCTCGTGGACTTAGGCAATTTGTCGAACCACGTAAAATTTATTTGTCTTGCTGTGATATTGTGTTTGGCTTGTTTGGTTGTGATTTTTTCGTTCTTGTTCGTGTGATTTGAGTTCCGCTATGCACAATAAGTGGTATCAGAGCTCGGGCTACGCTTGGGCTATTTGGAGGAGTAGATCGCTTTGGAAGTTCGTCTAGAGCTTCGCTTGGTGATAAATGTGAGATTTTTCCTATTCATGGATCTCGTTTCCGTCATGTGGGGTGAGATCTTTCGGAGACTCTTGCTAGGGTTTCAATTGGAGGTAAAAATCTCTCCTTTATTAGTTTAGATCTATTCTTTGTTTGTTCCGCATTGGTTTGTTGGTGCTTTGAGAATTATGGCTGAGAAAGAAGGATTTGAGGGTGGGATATTTGATTGTTGATACGATGCATTGGATTATTAAAAAGTACATTGACCTGCATATTAAAGTTCTTTGAGCACATTGGTATGAGCAAGAAGACCGATGTGAAGTTTGGTACTTCTATTCAACGATTGAGAGGTCTTCTAAGTGGTGTTCGTTCAGGCATTTGGCGGCCTTCTAAGGAGACATTATTGGGAGGTAATCGGTTTTTGGTTTTCGCAGTTAGGGACTGTTCTAGGCATTGGTGGGTTGCAACCAAGTCCCGTTAGTTTGAAGTCCTAGTAGTCAACAACAGTTGGAGGAAGTATATTGACAGGAAGAAAATTCGTTGTTCTGATTTTAGTAGGGGTTCTTTCTTACGTTTGTGCCGAGCTCACGACAGTTTAAGACACTTCATTGGAGAGAAAATATTAGGCAACGAGATGAGATGATAATTTTGATGGGTCATTCCTTGCTGGAGGATGATCGGTATTGGTTGTCGAGCATTGGATTGCAGAGGAGTTTTGAAGCTTCGACATATTTGGGTCATCTTAGTTATAGGTTGCCGACTACTGCATTTGGAGATTTTGAATCTAGTGAAGCTGCTTCAGTTTTTAGGTTGCCTCGGATGCTTGATTGCCCAATATTTGATCATATCGAGGATGTAAGATTTGATCCGATTATACGTTTGAGATTTAAAGGCTCATTTGGTTATCAGTTGGGAGACTATGATTTTGTTCAGAACAGGTATGTTACACTTGACTCTCGGTAGGTAGAGAGTGCTGATCAGATCGTAGGGATATCACAGCAGGTGGAGTATGATGCTACTTCACATTAGGTGGAGATTATTCTACATACTCCAGATCATACTGCATCGTTTCAGATTCCAGCTGAAGTGACACAATTTGGGGATTATTAGGATTTGGATGCAGATGATGAGTTGGTTGATTCGAGTGCAGCTGGTGGACATAGTTTGGATTTGGATATGACCGTTGGTTCACTTTAGGTGGAGGTGTTTGGTTTGTTTCACTTTGAGGCCATTAAGAGAGCTATCAGCATCAGATTTGTTGGTGAAAAATTGAGAACTCTTCTATTGGATTGAGGGCATTTGGAGGCCGTTGGGTGAACTACGTGAATGCTTGATTCCTTGGATAAGAGGATATGTAGGCAGTCATTTATGATGCAGCCAGTTTTGTGAGTAGATACCAATGTTTGGAGAGTGATTACATTCTCATTTGGGTCTCAACTTGTTGTGGATTGAGTCCATTGTTGTGGTTTTATTCCACTTCGTACTAGACGCAACAAGTGGGACGTTTGGTTGGCATTGGTGTCGGCTCAATTTTGAAAAAACATCGCTGAGGTGGAGATTTGTGGAGAATTCAGGAAATTCCAGTTTTTTGTCCAAATTTTGCAGATCTTGTGTCATAAGTCGACTCATGCACATGCATAAGTCGATTTATGGTAAGTCGACTTATGTTCTATTCTGGAATTGTTGGTTTTGGCTCGGTCAAGTCGACTCGGTCAAGTCGACTTATAGAGACTGTTAAGTCGACTTATGGTAAGTCGATGGTAAGTCGACTTATGGTAAGTCGATGGTAAGTCGACTTACGTTTTGTTCTCCAGTTGTTGATTTTCGCTCTGCCAAGTCGACTTATAGACCCTGATAAGTCGACTTATCAGAGGTTTTCTACACAGTTTGAGTTCCTATTTGGATTTTGTTTGGGATTTGGTGTTTGGTATAAATACCAACACGTTTTAGGGTTTCTTTGGCTTTGATTGGTGATTGTTTTGGGGATATTTGGAGCACAGAAAAGAGGTATTTTCTGAGCTATTAGTTAGGGTTTTGTTTGGAGAAAAATAAAAATTTGTTGATGAGATTAATTGGTGAGTTTGAGTGATTTGTAATCTCAGTTTGTACTCTTCTTCTCTATTAGTGAAAACTTCATCCCCTTCTTGCCTCGTGGACTTAGGCAATTTGTCGAACCACGTAAAATTTATTTGTCTTGCTGTGATATTGTGTTTGGCTTGTTTGGTTGTGATTTTTTCGTTCTTGTTCGTGTGATTTGAGTTTCGCTGCGCACAACAATAGCTAATTAATTAATTTGCTCTCTTAAGACAAACTAATCAATTGCCAAGTGAAACAGCAACCTTTGTGAGCAAATCCAATACTGAGAGAAAACTAGAAAGTCCATTGTCTAGAAAATTTGATAATGTCAATACTCGCAGGATAGTTCATCAGACACAATTACCAAAATGTAAAAATTGCACTCACGATTGAGCTGAAGTCTCATTGGCAGAGCTGTTAACGAGATCTTTATGCCGATCATTTGCTCCAGAATCCTCGTAACTCCCGGCTCCAAGATCCAAATTTGATGCTTGAACTTTGATGATTCTATGCAATGATTTCAACTGTGATGTGTATCTACACTGCACTGCCAATAAGTAATCTTTGTATCAATTTAAAGGCACGGTGTATCCAGAAAGTAAAGATTAAGCATACAAAATTCCCAGAAAATATAGATAGAGCTTTTTACCCATACACCCCAAATCAACCATATTTTCTAATTTACCTCCAAAACTAGACATTTGCTAGTTTACCCCTCAATTCTGTCACATTGATTTAAAAGACACCCAAAAATAATTTATATTTCTAATTTTTCTATTAGTTGTTCAGCTGAAATCTCCCACTGTTGAGAATCCAGCAACGTTAACTTTCGGGGATTTTAATTTTTAACAAAATTTGGTAAACTTTGAGGTAAATTACCAAAAATCAAGTGAAAGTAACAAACTAATTCTTAGACTGAAGGAGAGGAAACTTACAGGCGAATGGATTCTTCGCGAATCTTCTATCGAGTTTCGTCGGAGAGGCCGAGATTGCGAGAGATGGGGATCTCCCGCACGAGAGGAGACCGCAAGATTGCATCATTTCCGCTCCTCACTTTATTGAAGCGAGAATTTCTTCATGTTCTTTGATCTAAACCCTAACCCTAGATTTTTCTTTTGCTGCCGGTTTCGTCGTCGTTGAGCTTGAGAGAGTTGGGAGGGAGAGGGAGAGGGAGAGGAGCGTGCCCTGCTCGTTCCGATAGAGGATAGGAGAGAGAGGAAAACTCTCGCTCAATCTTTTGGAAAGAAATGGAATGGGCTTTTTCTTGGAAGAGAGCCTGTCAGGATTTGACACGTGTACGGGATAAAGTACGCCGAGGGTTACTCTGTGTCAGTTTGATTTTGAAATTTATTAAGGTGGTAATAACAATGAGCACTATTTAAACATCACTTCGTTTGTATTTGTGAAGAGGGAGGTGTGCGCTGCGCTTGAAGGATAAGTTTCATAAATTATCACTGAAATTTGAGAGCTTTTTTTTTAAAAAAAAAACTAAAATGGTATGCCGATGCACGAAGCTCTTGCTAAGTGCAAGATCTGGGAGGGGATCAGAACTCTTATGAACTCTGCTGAGTCTACTTTATATAGTTCTATCTTGCATTTTTACCGGAGGTTGTTTCATGGAGCTAACACATGACCTCCAGATCATACGATAACAACTCATACCATTGCACCAAAGCTCCCCTTAAGAGTCTGTACCAAAATGTTCTAGTTTTTTTATTAGAGAAAATAAAAATTAATCTTTTTCCCCTCCATAAACCACCATGTCTTATATCAGCTAGGTTGAATTTCGCATATTTCACAGCTAATATGTTTTGAACAAATTTTCTCATATGTATATTATATATCCTCTGAATTAGTCTCCTCATCTTCCCTATTTTCAAAGATAGTTTAGACATTTTATTGAAATTTGCTAGTATTAGCAACAAATTTCAATAGTTAATAATATCTTTCTTCAACTTTATAAGCTTATGATATTTTTTTCCCTATTACTTTTCTTGATGGTTTTGTGCACCTACAATAATGCCCATCCATCGTCTTTCTAAATTTAACCATCACTTTGATTTGAGTGACTCCTTAAAGTCACCAAAATATGGAACCATGCATAGAGAAAAAAGTGATCTGTATTTTCATCATGACTTGCATGTTATGAAAGTGATAGAGCATGAATCCTATCAGAACGCCCCAAACAGTGCGGAGCGTTCTGATAGGAACATGGGATTAATTGAGGGGCACTTACGTAATTTGAGTCACACCACCAGGGGTCAGGATTTTCCCGCACAAAAGGTTCTGATAGGAAAGCTAGTCAAAGTGCCAGAGCTACTGTTCCTCATTGTGCATGCGACAAGAGAACGGAATAGTTCAATTATCAACTATGGCAATATCATGCCTTCGGGCGACAAGAATTCAGTCTGATTTACGTATCTGCAGTGCGTGTATGGTTAAATTTACGTTAAGTTTGAGGACAGCAATTATGACGGGAGACAGTATAATATACATGAAATCACTTGGGCTTTTTGAGAGAACAGAATCTAGCTCTGTAGTCTAATTTCTCAGCAATGTATACAACTATACATGATTTGATTATATGGGCTTTTATTTCATTATATAGGCTTTTGTGAGAAGAGCACAACATTTATATACAAAGGGGGGAAATGGTGAGTACACTCTACAAAAATGTCTCTCGTATCAGTCGGGCAAATACTCGTGATGATAACCGATTCAGCACCTCTGGTAGAACTTTTGCAGAGATGCCTGGCAACACTGGAAGAAGCTCTTGGATGATGTATGTAATATTTACATCCTGGAAAAAGTAACAAGAGACATAAGAAAATATTGGTGATAGCAAGAATCCTGTATGTCACATGCATCAAAATGGATAGTGAGTAACACCTGATCTGTTGTCGATCTTGAAGTTCCAGCTGTTAGAAATTGAACTACTTTTTGTACGTTGTTCAGTATAACTCTGTCCTCCTCTGTGATTGTAGGAAGCAAGGCTGCAGCTCTTACAGGAACCATGCTGAAAACTGGGGCTGCATTTCTAATTCCCAAGAATGCCGTTATTTGAACCAACTGGTCTCTTGAAAGAGCATCTATCGCTTTAACAATCTGCATATAAACCAAGTGAAATTTGTAGACTTAGATACTTCTGTTCTTCCAACCAGTAACATGACATTTATACAGTAAAAGAAATATTTAAGTATAAAATTCATATCAACAAGTGGATCCTGTATAAAAGGATGCAAAAGATTATTTCTTTTTGAGCTTGCGTTGAAAAGCTTTACAGACTTAGACTGACCCTGATGCGTATGAAATTTGATAACATTTCCAACCTCCCTAACTGCTAGTATTCTGCACAGGCAATACATGTAATTGGAACATGGTATAAATGTTTAAAATCCTTCAAAAAGAAAACGCATCACAATCATGAAATATATGTCAAGGTTATCCAACTGATTGAAAAGAATGGTAGTAAGATTGTAATACGATACAGGTGACATTCTAACATCTAAAACCAAAATTAAAAAGACCAATGGCTATACCACCATGAAGAGCTTAAATTATTAGTGACTCAAATAGAAGCCCGACAAAAAATGTTACTGTAACTTGAAAGATTGTCTCTGAAGAATCCAACATTAAACATGACAGATTATCGATCAACAGTGGTAGTATTTTCGAAGAGAAATCTCGTAACTAGTTTAGCTTATCTAATTTTTTCTTACTGTCGTTTTTCCGTTAAGTTTGTGGGTGTGTTTGCTGATTAATCTGTTATATGATGCAATCTTCAGTCATTAAAAATGTAAGAGAAAAAACATGTAGACAAACATGAACTTTGCTATTTGTATACTTAAAAAAGAAGATTAGCTTACCTCATCTAGAATGAATTCTCTGAAAAAGTTCCCTTTATCAGACAATAGAAAAGCAAGCGCTGCCCTTGTTTGAACTGGCTGTACCGGCTGAGACAATGCTGTTGGAAACCCTGGAAATGAATAGCTAGTTTGACTTTGTAAAATGCCAAGCTCAGCCATATTTCCATTCAGATCCTCCCCGCCTCCACTTTTAGCAGCAGTAATGAAATTCTCAAAAGCCTGCATAACATCAATAAACCTTTCTGCATCGAAAACCCCTGATTTTCCATATATAGTGTATCGTAGTGCACTCCGCAGACGCGGAGATTCATCAGTAAGAAGTCTCTGGTATTGGAAATGACAGAATACAAATGATCAGAAAGCTATATTTTATGATAGACTGATAAAAATGTGATAATACAAAGATAATTGACTAACATATTTTCAACTACCATAATTTTTACCTTAGTCAGTATCATAAATGGCTGAATTAGTTTCTCAAAAAATAAATTAAATTAAATTAAATTTTCTCAAAAAGATAAATGGCTGAATTAACAGTTACATGTACAAGATTGTGTAGCACCAATGTTTGCACTATCAAACTTGTCTTTTTTTCTTAACTACAATGTTCTTGGTAACCTTAATACAGAGGGATCTATAGTCTGACACATGCATGCAGTCATACAAAGTTAAAGAGAGATCTATAGGCTGACACATGCATGCAGTCATACAAAGTTATACCTTTGAAAATAATTGTCAGATTTCCAGATGTATACGATATACTCCACGCCATGCAATCAACATTGTGTAGTTCTATAGAAGCAAACTATATTGTCCTTCGTGCACCACAAACTGATGATTGACATCATTAATCAACAATGCATTAATTTTTTTTGTGCTGTGATGATTTCTTTGGCAATCCATAACCAGCTAACAAATAGAAGAATGATCTACAAGTGGAGCAGACCTTATTGATTTTTTATTTTATTAAGTATCGTTGAACCCGGAATTCTAGCCAAACAAATTCTCCACCGTTTACACCAATGATTCATTAACAAGCCATCCATGGCAGATCTTTCATTCATTATATTGTATTATCATTCTGGAATGAGTAAGATGGAACTAGAGACATTTCGTGTCATTCACATGCTATGAAGTATACAAAACTAAAAGTTTTAATATTATCACATCATTATAAATCTGTCTGTAAAGCCAAAACTATTAGTTCTGCAATTTTTAGAAGCATCTAATAAACTTATATATAGACATATAGTTGATCAAATGTCATCAGTAATTTGAGGCAAATTGTCATATTTTGCTCATAGCTCTGTTAGAATATCAGTTACACAAATGATACAGAATTCGACATCAATATTCATACTAGTAGGAAGACATGGAAACAAAAATATAAACCAATGGAAATAATGAAAATTAAACAAACCTGTGCAACATATGGATATGCTTCGTCTACGATTGCAAATTCCGAATTCCCTACTAATGCTATTCCTTCCAATACTCCAATTGCTCTGATAATTAAAGCAAAATAAGGCGGTATTCTGAAGGGATAATCAAAAGTAATTTGAGCTAAATCGGCTGCTAAATCTTGGAAATTAATATTTTTGGCGCCCCCTCCTTCAAGTGCTTGATCAAATACTTTAGCAAGGACTGGTAGGATTGGTTCCAAATTAACACCCTCAGGTATGAAATCAAGCTTGACAAAATCCTTAACAATAGCACCGTAATCACGATGAATAAGGTGAGCTATTGCTTCAATCATTCCATACTTCTGATCATCAGTCAATTTCGTCACAAGACCTGCGACGCAAATGAAGTTTAACAGATTATTTAGATCACACTAAGAAGACTAACAGTATGATGCAAACAGAATTAGTTTTTATGCATAGGAACAACAAGCTCCATCATACTTCCCAAGCAACTCATACTGCACATGGGATCGTTTGAGATCTATGCAAGTAAGAGTCTTGCTCCGAAGAATTGCAGATCCCATTTGAGCAAATTAAACATGTCTAATCAAAACTTATCACCTCTGAAAAAGGAAGAACATCATAATTTCTTTCCAGATTCCAGTCAATTGACTCAACTCTTCTATATTTTTCTACACGCATCGTGCATAATCAATGATACATTAAAGACAAATCAACTTTATCCTTAACATCTCTTTCGACGCCTCTTAATAATCAAACTTATAAAATTCACATGGAATATCCAAGTATCAGATGGCATTAGAAAGTATTACCGAAATCAAGTATAGCCAACTTCCCATCGGGGGTGCGAATCATGTTTCCAGGATGTGGGTCAGCATGGAAGAAACCCGTATCAAGCAACTGTATTTCCAGTTACAAATAATCAGATTAGATGCTCCTGACGTGAATTTCACAAAATTTTTAACAAAATACTGTGGCATACACAAGTATGAACGCAAGTGTCTTGAGGTAGAATCAAAGCTTGCATTATTTAAATGAACTAACAAGTGAAAACTTTGGTACATATATCATGATGACGGCGTAATCATCCAATGGGATGGCCATAGCAAGCGACGAATTTGGCAAAGTGGAGCAGATATCATAGTATGCATACTATCAACTGGGAACATCTCAGTGTGGTTGAGCAACAACATGCATGCAGATACACATTTTGGAGTGAGAGATACCTTTTGACATGTATTGCTTAGATCTCTGTCCACCATACAATCTCTTGATCTTGGAAAAATAGTACAGAATATGTACAATGTGTTAGAGGATGATGCAGTCCAATGAGTGGAATTTTTAATAGGGGCATTATTTTAACTTATGTGAATATCACTCTTTTGGGAATGGTTTTATGGTCTGTGCATTTAGGACTATAAAGGGAAGGATCTAAATTAGCATTTTAAATTTCGTAGATGGCAGCAGTTAAATGTAAATAAAAAGGCATGAAAGAAAGAGAAATTCATGGAAATTTTCACTGAAGAATTTTTTAAACATAAAGTTTAAGTGAAAAAAAGTGAATTATGTGAAGGATATCAAATGTAGTAACTGTCAGAATAGGGATAAACCTGTTTCAGGTAGCATATAACTCCAACATTGACCAGTTCCCCAACGTCACCTTCCGTACTTTGCGATAACTTTTCACCTTCTATCCATGATGTGGTCAGAACCTTTCTTGAAGTATACCTTTGGTATGTCCTTGGTACGACAACCTGAGATGAAAATGTTGCGTGCAAAAACATCAAATTGCAAGCAAAAACTGAAAGGAAATAGTTATTATTCAACTGGATATTTCTAAAAGATGATGAGACAAGTATACAATTGAGGGTAACTAAATATGGATGTCAACAGCTGGTACAGTATGCATATTTCCTTTCATAAAGTAAACTCAATTCTTCCAGCAAGAACTTATTCAACTGGCAGTGGCAGCTTAAGGGAGAAAGAGACCAAAACATGTCCAAGAGGACCAAACAAGCAGTAGTTTTTATGGTTGATGATGTATTTGCCACCACCACATTCAGTGTTGTTGGTAATGTATTTCCATGTTTATACCCGTTGTGCAGTTCACGATGTACTTACCACTGTTGATAACATCCAGTATTAGTTGATGGTTTTAAATGCCGCCATGCAGCCCATCGCTGGAGTGAGGTTCTTGATATATTGCCACCATGCGAACATATTCAGTACAGAGCTTGATCAGCGCGATTTCTAATATTCCAAGGACTTGTCTATATGTTAACTTATGTTTAACAAGATAAAGCAACATCTTTCTGCCACTCAGAATTTTATTTCATTGATTTGTCCCCTTAAATCAATCTGATTTACTGAGATATCTTGCTTAATATTTTATATAATTATGAAATTTCTTTTAAAATTTGTACAGAATATTTATATGTTATTGATGAGCTATCAAGCTCGTCCTCCAAGCAATGTTCTTCAAATTAATATAGACATGATGTAGTGCTGACTCTGTTGGAAGTCGCTGACGAAGAAAGTTTTCTATTCATTATCTTGAGTTTATCTGTACTTTATACAAAGAATTATTTATATATTTGAAATTATTTCTAGTCAAAACCAAATGGTAGACTTGGAGGTGTGATTATGAATTATTGATTCGATTTATTGGAGGCAAACAAAGAATCATGGCATGGACGATAATTTTTTGATTTGGCTCAGCTCCTAAGTGTATCTTTTCTGTCAGCAATAGTTGAAGGAGTATGTGATTGTGCCCTGGAATTTAAAGGATAAGACATGAACATTGTGACAGTTGAGATGTGCTTTATTGTTTGACATTGAGGCATTAGACACAGTCTCAATTAGATATTAAAAAATGTTATTAAATTATATATTGTTATTAATGCATCTTGAACAATCTGATAGGTGATACTGGATATCACAGTTAAGAAAAAGGTTGAGAACTACCTGCGGAAGGTCTTTCCTCATCATTTCTGCAAAGATAATTCCATTTTCTCCTTCATTCACATAATCAAGCTCCTCGAAAAAGCGGGCAGCCCATTCATCTACTAACCCAACAACATCTATGGAAATCTGAGACGTTTGAATCAATCCAAGTTATAGTAATGAACGTGCAGCTTCAAACGTTCAGAATAAGCAGATGATAAATTACCTGCGGGAACTTTCGCAATACCAATCCCAGTTTCCTAATAATAAATAGATCTATTGTCACGGTCTCAAGAACAAATGGTCTTTGTACTTTGACAGCTACCAAATCACCATTTTCTTTTAGCCTACCCTTGTACACTTGTCCCAAGGATGCTGCATAATTTCCATATACAGGCATTAAAATAATCAATTGCTTATGGAATAAAGTTAACGAATGTTGTGGAAATGCACAGCTAGATTTGCATGTCAGGTTACTTAACAGCCTATCAGACGGTCAAAAAAGAAGTCACTGAACATCAAATGGAATTACCAGCAGCAATTGGTGAAGGAGTAAGCTCAGAATAAATCTTATGCCAAGGCTGACCAAGCTCTTCTTCAATAAGGGCCATTGCTACATCATCTGGAAATGAAGGAACCTTCAAATATCATTAAAAAATAACGAAATTAGCAAATTAGGACTGACAGTATGATTCACAGCCAAACTTCACAAAGTTTTCCTTGAGAATTTTTCCCCCTCAAAGTTAAATAGAGAGTCATATGAACAAGGATTTAAGGTTTCAGCAACAGTTCATAATAATTTAAATAGATATTCCGTTAATGAAAGTTTAATGCATGCAAGAGATGGATAGATGGAAGAATATTGGTTTTATGAGAATTAGTCCTGATGCAAGTCCCAATGAATCGATGAACTGGATGGAATTATTCTGCAATTCACAAGTTCTCTAAAACATCATACTTGAAGGAGGTTGGCAGTCGAAGAAAATTTCAAAAGTTCAAATGCAAAGTAACCACGTCCTTCGGGTGCATGCTCCCATTATCTTGGAACACCAAAAAATTGTATATGATGGCTGCTGAGACCGATAGATAACAACCGTGCCTTAATACTCACATGTAACCGTGGCTCAGACATGATCACACATTCTGATGTATTGCTTTAGCATGACCTCTATGCACCAGATTTTGGCAAATCCTAAGATTCCCATCTTATAGAAAAGCTTAGAGTTCTTGATACGCGAACACATTCCCCATGACAGAAGAAACAAATGAAATAGAGTGGCCACTGCAACTTGTTGGGTTGTTTTGAAAGAACGCAACAATTGCGCTTCAACTTGATGTGCCAGAAGACATCATGAGGGCAGTTTCCTGTTAATGTTTGTATATACTTAATTCTTTTGTACACTTTCATTATCCTTATGAAATCAGGTCATTAGATGCCCAAGGATATTAGATGCTAATCAAAATTCCTATCTTCTAATTACTACCAAAATATATGATAAAATGTAATTCATTCCACTATAACCATATACAAAAGTAATAATTATGGATGAATTTGGATTACCTTATCACAGAGCTTTTGCAGCTCAGTCATTGCTGCAGGAGATAATATGTCTGGGCGGATGCTCAATGCTTGCCCAAGCTTAATGTAAGCTGGACCCAACGATGTCACTATCTCCCTCAGTTCAATAGCTCTAGCAACTTCGTTCTACAGGAATAACAGAAATGACAAGGAAAAATGAATTTGATATGTTGAATCGCCATGATAAAGCATTGTCTGGAGATGTATAAAAATTATAGCAGATAACACTATAACAGTATACATAGAGAAATTTTCTCCGGAAAAAAAAACAGTATGTAGAGAAAAAGTTAACTTCTGATCAGAACAATACAACATATGTGTGCACGTTGTTGGTAGGCATGTGTGCACGTCGCACACAAATAAAAAAAATTGAATTGAATATGGAAACAGAGGGAAGAATAAAGTTGATGGCTTGCACAAGCAAAAGGTACATGAAAGGAACACTAAAAATTATGAATGTTTGCCAATTTAATTAAAGCACAGTACTGAACTCTCTCTTTCAATCGATTGTTAATTCTTCTAGGCAAGTTATTTTAGGGATTTCTTCTTTAACCTAGGAAACTCAACAGAGATCTGGCATTCCCAAATATATTGAAATGTTCCTAACAAAACATTCTGTGAATGTCAGTAAAAATTTAACCAATTCTTTTCATACCGTGCTTATACTCCAAAGCCTGCAGAACTTCAAATACTGATTCCCGATCCATTATAAAACTTCAACAAGAGAACATGTGCAGAAATTTCTCCTGAAGTAGAGGATTTATACCGAAAAGAAACATCTTTCGGAAGCATCTATTTTCTGGGTAACCCTTCTATAAACATCTTTAGAAATAACAGTTTAAGAGCATAGCTAGAAACAATTCTAGAGATGACGGGAACATGCCATATTCTAGACTCAAGAGAAATAGCGCTAGAGTAACTTAAGGCCTTACAAATGGTCAGGTTTCATCAATCAAAGACAAGCGAGATTAAGGGAAAACTAGAAGAAAATATCATGGATTTATGTTTTTCCGTTATCAGTGAAATGAGAAAAGATACAAGTCAATTTCACATACCTTAAACTCAATTTCACATACCCAAGAATGTAACTGAAAATTAAAGATTGAAAAAAGAATTGGTTCCTAATTGCATCATATGAACTAGAATAACATATAAATTATTTATCTTACCAAACAGTAATACTTGTCTACATGGAATTTTATATATTCTAAACAATCAGCAATAATCATATTCACATTTGAAATAAAGTATTCACACTAAAAGAGAGATATTTTGCAACAAGTGCAGTAGTTTACCTCTTTAACCTTCTTGTTTATCAGATCTGAAATCAGATGAGATAGAAAACCACCAGCAACAGAGAGCAACTGTACAATGCGAGTTGCAACAGCTCGTGGACGCTTTCCCCAATACCGCGAGATAATATCAGGATCATAAACTAGAGGTAATGCCTCAGCACTCTCCGCTGCTTGTACCTGATTAAGCGGGTAGTCAAAATACAAAGTGTCAGTTCTTGTTTATTTGAAACCAGCAAAAGTTTGAAACACAGAGCTAGTGCCTACTTGGTGGGAAGCTGGACAGTCGAAATTCATAAATATACCTAGTCAGTCCGCTCTCCTTTCAGTTGATAATTCTTATTATTTTACTAATAGAACAAGGGGTACTAACCATTTCACTCACAACTAACTCCTCATTTGAAGAAATAATCTTGATTCTGTTAAATTCTACAAAATTGCTAATTATTTTCAAAATGCCCACTGAATTTTGGGTTCCAGTTTAGTGATCAACTATGTTAACTGGGTATTTCTACTCCGGAGCCGTACTAGTACATGTTCCTGTACCCAAACTCCTCGGACACTCGTTGCATATATGCATACATTTATTGGGGCATGTACTCAATTATACAAAAGCATGTTTTAGTTTAAAACACTTATCATACATTTTTTTAAGTCATATATCCTACACTTCACATCCACTTCTTAAAACTCGTTGAACATAGGTCAGGTTCCAAATTATTATTTTGAAGTCTTGTTTGGATGTCTAGTTAGTGATTTTCCAATGTATAATCCACGTGATAAAAGAAACATTAAAAATGTTGCAGGAATTTTGATACTCATCCTTGTTCTCATATAAATTATTAATTCCAAGATAATATATGTGCATATAAATATTTATATAGCCGTGTCCCCGTACCCTACCTTTTACAAATTTTCCACGTTCCGTACCAGTACCCATACCCGTACCCATGCAACATAGCTGACCAACGACAATACTTCTTTCCAAAATTAACTCATCAGTTCGGTGAAATTCAATCATCCATCCCCATGTACTCTCCTCTCTGTAAATATATTAGTTATTTTTAAGGTCAATAAATCTTTGGCTGCGGCTTTCTCTAAAAAAAAGTGTTTCCAGATACAGATGAACAAGAATAAAAAACCTCAACAAATCTCTAATTCTGTTAGATTCTACTAACCTACTAATTCTGACAAAATTTTTACTAAAAATCGAGGTTCCATATATTTCATCAGAACCACACATTCTTTTCAAAATTAACTCTTACTAGAAATTTAACGTTCTATTGTTAAAGAAAGATATTTATCATAATATTACAAGAGCAGCTCAGCATGTCTGTGCATGAAAAAAAAATTCAAGAAAAACTAAAGCATGAAATGATAATTTTCAACTAGTAAAGAACAAGAATCAAACCTCCACGAGCCGTAGCCGGACATTTTCATCGGCAAACTGCGAATCTTTTAGATTCTGTCCTCTCAAGCCTCTCATAAGCGAAGCCAGCTGCTCATCCTCCTCCATCTGAGCCCTCACCCTCTTGATCTCATCCGATACATTCCCAAACCTCTGCAAACTCCAAAAACAATGAAACCTCCTAAATCTAACCAAAAATAGTAAATAAATGAAGCTCTTTCAACTTAGGGTTCCCTTACGTTTGCGGATCCGTTGATGGATTTGGGCGGCGATGATCGAGACGAGGGCTCCGCATTGTTGGGCTTAGGCCCGGTGGCGACGGCGTAGACGGCGGGGCGGGGGGGTCTGGCACGTGATGATGGGAGCGTGCGCCGGCGGTTGCTCCGGTGAGTGGGAGGAAGGAGAGTCGAGATGTTGTAGGAGAGGAGGCGAGATGAGGTTTCCATCGCCGAAAAGATTGGAGCTTGATTATTCGATCGTCCTCTCTCTAGATTTTAGTTTTGATTTTGGTTTTTATATGTGATTGACTTTGATTTGTTGAATGAAGAGAGAGATAACTGCTGGAGAGCAGCGAGTCGTTGTAATTGGGCTTCATTTTGTGGAGAGGAGCTCAACGGTCTGCTATCACGGCGGGAGATTTTTCGTTACGCCTCAATCAAGCAAAGTTATTCTTTTTTTCAGATATAGCTCTACTAATCTACTTATTTATTTCTATGAGAATTTTTTCAAAAAAGACCATTTTTGAAAAAAAAAATATTAGTGAAACAGACATTTTTTGAAATTTTTTAGCAAAAGCAACCACTTTTTGGCCACATCATCTCTGCCGGCCAAAAAAAGATCGATCTCACAAAATATCTACTTTCAAATCAACGGGACAAGTAGTCCCGCGTAATCAGTGATCGCTAATTACATTTAATTTGAAAGGGCAGCCATCTGTACTTTGTGTTGAAATTTAACGAGAACTAAATACACAAAACTACTAGTCCTATGTTTTTTGAAGTTGATATTTTGCAAAATCGACCTCTAATATGTTGATTTTGTTAAATTTTTCACAAATGGTTGATTTTACTAATTATTTATTAAAATATTTATGCAAATTTCTCCTTATTTTCTATAATTTGGTTGCATATTTTCCTTTGAGTTTTGTTTATACTATTTTTTTATGAGTTAATGTTTTCTTTACGTAATTTGTTTATGTGAATTTGCGAAATATGTCCATGTAGAAGAAAACTCTTCCATGATGTGTTATGGTCTTCTAATATTGCACTTTATTATTTAAATCATCTTGAGTCTTCATTGAACGTGTTTGTTAGGTTGTAGCTAAAAGGATTGTAAGTACGGTTGCATGTAACTAGCTAGATCATTATTGTCCGATTGCGTGTATTTGTTTCATCGCAATTGGATGTTACAATTACGACAACAGTTGCAATTTTCAACTTACACCATTTTAAGCGTTAGTTTCAATCGCAAATTTATTTTAACTAACCCAACTTAATAAAAATTCAATATTATTATTTTAAATTTCAAAAAAATCTAGGAACTTCATTGAGGATTTGAAATATTTTTATAAGCAATAATTTTTATATTAAAATATACTTTGTAAAATTATAATTTTAAGAAATATTTTTTTAGATAATTAATTTTAAGAAAATGTTTTCTTGTAAAAATATTATTTTATAAAAAATATGTAGTTTTAAATAAAGATTATTTTTAAAAAATATTTTCTTTAAATGATTTTTTAGAAAACTATTTTTTAAAAAATTTCTGAATAGATATTATTATTCCAAATATACTATTTTTTAATAAATGTTGTTAAAAATATTATTTTTTAGAAATAATTTTTAAGAATATTATTTTTAGAAAATATCATTTAAAAATTATTCTTCCAACATACTACTTTAAAAATATGAAAATTTTAAAAAAAAATTATTATTAACTTATATTCTTTTTTAGATTTTAGAAAATTATAAAAAAAAGAAAATTTTATTTTTAAAATATTTACATATATAAAATCAACTAATAAATATATTTTTTAAAGTGAATAACGAGTTGCGATGGAAAAGATACAAGTAGTGCCAAACAATTGTAACTACAAGTTGAAAGTTTAAAAAATTGAACCAAATAGTTATAACTACAATTGCATGCAGTGTTAGAACATCTTAGTCGTATGCAAGTAATACTATTAGTTGCAACTTACCAAACTCACAGTTAATGTATCTTTACAAAATTATGATTAATGTAGGTTAGATTAGAAAGATGAAAATAAAGTTTTTTTTTATGGCTTCTTCAGCTAGCAATTTTTAATCACTGCATGACATGCAATATAATTAATCATACAAGACTCAATAGATCTGTAATGTTGATTGCTGGAACCGATAATCAAAGATCTTGTTGTTTCTCTTTAGAAAGATTTATTAAAACTTAGCATCTCTTTGAGATCAACATATGAACATGGGCGCTCATGAGATAAATGCTTCATCCAACTAACAATCAAACTTTTCTCATTCACTAAAAACACGAGAGATCAAATTGCATCAACATTCAACTCCATCAAACGAAAGCTAGGCATTTTTATATTTTACTTTACTTCGATATTTAACATTACATTTCCCAAAAAAAACTGCAAAGATGTTAAATTGCCAAAAAGCAAATATAGATGGGAAATGTGTAAAATCTATGCATGCTTCTTCGACTTGTACATTTAATAAGGAGGTCCCCCGAGGAGCACCAGACCGGCTTATAAATTATGTGGACTGTAGATTGCTGCTTTTTTTTCCCCCGTGTGTGACCGAAGAATTGGACGCAGGGGATCCACGATGGTAATGTGAGATAGCGGTGGGCAGTGGTGTGCGTTATTCCTCTTAATATTGACTCTATGGTGGACTCCAAAGCGCCACGTGCTCAATTTTGGTCCGCAACTTATATCCAGAGAGGGGGTGTGGTTGGTGGTGTGGTAGGGGGTGTGCCCCTAACATTATTTTATATCCACCAAAGTTGTTCATACTAGTTGACTTGTGTCAAAAAGGAAAACTCTATTTTATTATCGTGTGAAACTAAAAATAATAAACCAGATGACGTTCTTTTTTCGTTTTCATCCTTCATCCTCAATGAACAAAATGATACAAGTTTATCGGTAACTCTTAATAGTGGCAGTGTTATAGATATACATATACTTTGTATATGTATTTATATTTACATTTACTGCTTAGGACACCATTAACATTAAAATATCATATTACTAATAAGGATAAAATTATAAAAACTATTAATATAGAGCTTAAATACAATTATGTTAAAGTTGCATGAGGACACCACTTGCTTTCACCATTGGTTGTTAAATATGTCATGTCATCCCCCACCCCAAAAAAATATTTTGGGGACTCACGAGTTCAAATTGGTCTTCTAGGTGTTGATTGCATTTGGAGGTGTCATTTTTGTATGAGAATGGTCATTATATTTTGTAGAATTTTTTTCTAGCTAGAAACCATCTTAAAAATAAGGTCATTTTACAAAAGTTATCTTCTGTTTTCAATTTATACTTAAACCACATTTAAAGTGGATTTTTGTTCCAATCAACCGCCTCGTAGCCAATTCTCACTAAAAAAACCAAAAAAATAATCTTTAGATAATGCAAAGGTATGGTATCTGACTTGTATTTTAACCGGACTTAAAATTAACAAAGTGAGTCGCATGTCTTTAATGTGAGTTTTTAATAGTATTTTTCGATATTTGGTGAAAATTTCAACTTAAAAGTGGTTGATGGGAACAAAAATACACTTTAAAAATGGTTTATGTATAAATTGAAAATAAAATGTAAGTGTTGTGAAATGACTCTATTTTGAAAATGGTTTCTAGAAGGGAAAAAACCTAAAGTCCACTTTTACAGTGACACCATAAAACAATCTCACATGATTTTTTCAGTTGCCATGTATCCCCCCACCCCACCCCAAGCAAATGCTAAAATGGATTATCTCAAAATTTATGTGGAACTTTTAAATAGAACTACACAATGCATGGATAATGGATCCTGGTTCACTCTTTTTTACGGAAAGTGCATGGAAATGAAAACGACACATGTTTCTCGTAACAAAAACAAATCTTATAGATTCATATTCCTTAGCTTGGTTCGCTAAAAATTATAGTAAAATATTTTCTATAAATTGTTAAAATCTAGTAAATTTTCAAGAAACCCACATTCTAGCATTTATGGGAAAATGGGCTTAAAAATCTGACATTTGGTATTAAAAATGGAGTCCACGTCATATTTCTAGCTTTAGTTAAACTTTCCATTTCTATTTCCCCCTTATGAATCAAACCAAAGATTACGAAACGAAGTTGCATCCATACCTGGAAACAAAAAAGTTTTTCTGGAAACATGGAAACCATTAGAGAGACTATTTTAGCACAAATTTTCCTATTCGTTTTTTAAAGAAATTGAATCAAACAACCCCTCATTTAAAAAATATTGATAAGTATATTATGCTTTTGGACACTATTCCTATAGTACAAGAGAAAAAAGTGTGAACTCGATGAGTCATTAATTTTTTAAAAAAATTACATTGGATCCCACATCATGTTTCTTTCTTATAGTGTAGAAATGATATAAGAGCTTGTTTAGTTAGCTAGGAAACCCCTTGATTAGGAAAATAAAAACTTGACACGCTAGGAATCCATCAGAATCAGTGCATTTAGTTTCTTAAAAACATATTTGATTTCAAGTTTGAGTTCAATGGAACTTTTCCTAAAACGTCAGCTCGCACTACCTATTAATATAGGAAATCCCAATTTGGCTCTTTTGTAGTGGAAATAGGCTGGTAATAGATGATATAATATTAAAAAAATAGTTAACCTGCTTTTGGTCTTACTTTTAGGATAAAGAGAGCATTTCCTTCAACTTGTGATTTCCTATTTTTGGTTCTAGCAACCACAAAAATGAGAAATTGTTGCTTTTTCTCATTGCTTTCTGTGTGATTTTTAGCTAAATAAATGAAAAACAAAGAATTCTAGGAAACATATGAAATCTCCAGAAATATCTTTTTTATATGAAAATATAATTTACTAATATTTTAAGAAATGAACCAAACTAGCTCTAAATTGAATATTGTTGCTATCACTACCCTAATTTAATATGGAATTTTTTTGAATAAACCATTTAAAAAATCAATATAAGCAAAATCGACCTTCAATTTTGCAAAACAGAAGTTCTAATTTACACGGGACCACTAGTCCTATGTGATTAGCTACGATTTGATTAGCTACGCTTAGAAATCAATGGGACTCAGTCTCATCTATATCTGGACTATATAATACCGCCATAGTGTTGTCCTAACCCAGTCTATTCACGCCCAACTTCTTGCACCTCAAACGATCACGCTCATCCAGTGCTTGTCCACGAAGCCACCGTTCACGCTCGCCCGCCTCCACTGCTCGCCCACCAAGCCCCATCCACTAAGCAGCCGTCCACCAAGTCACTGTCTACCAAGCCCACCTCTCAAGGTGAAAATTTGCTCTCTTTACTTGTGAATTTGATGAATGATATGAATTTTATTGAATGATATGGATTTTAATTTAGGG